GGAATCTGCTACTAACGGGAAGTGTACGGGACATCCTGTATATCTTTGGAATGTGCGCTGCTTCTTTTATTTTACTTTTACTATTTTCTATTTCATACTGTTTAGAAATAGGAAATAGAAAATAGAAGTGTTTTGTTTAATTATGAAATAACGAAATGTCGAATAAGTATTTTATTTGAAGTGAACGTTGATGTAAATAGTAAATACTATTTGCCTTTTTTATATTTATGATGCAAAATACTTATTTGAAATAGTATTTCTATAGATGCGTCTTCCAAATAAATATTTCTGTTAAAACTATTTCAATTATTTCCCTGCACAGAAAATATGTATTTACTATTTTCTATTTTAACTAACTATTTTCCCCAGTACAGCACTGTTCCTACCCAATTTGTAGTCAATTTGATTAAAATTATGAAGATGAACAGCTTAAGAAAATGTATCAAATTTGATTCGAATTTAGTTTATTATTTACTAATGCATATGTTAATATGAACGTTTACTTTGAAACTAACCACAGAAAAGATTTAATTTACATTTGGATACATATGGGAGTTAAAAATAACAAAATATTTAATTTAAGGGATTGAGTTACTATTGCTCCTTTCATACATCTAACAGTGTAAATTAGATATCATTAAAGAAGATCGCGCACAAAGTATATCCCGCAGAGGGATATTTAATGTTAACCGCATAAAATGAATTTTTCGTAACGTGGTTTAATTTACCGCTGGATGTCATTTCGCTTTCGCGCAACATGACAATTTAATTTCACGCGTAAAGGAAGAAGTTTATCAAGAAATCTAACTTGCTCCTTGCTATTTCTCTGTTGCGGTAGTACACGTTCTACAGGGCGATATCACTAGTACGATAAGGGATTCGGAGACCAAACGCTGGAGATCGCATCTGCGAATAATACAACCTCCTCCGAAATAACGTCATGATTTACCATACCGCAGGATATAATCAACAATTCCAATTCTCGACTGTTACCCTGATCTTTATCGCGCACAAATTTACCGAGGATTTACTCATGTATTTCTGTCGCAGATCTCATATTCTTAGATACATGGCGCTATTTCGTTGACGAATGATCAAATCAAGTCTACTATAAAAAAGTTTCACAGAAGATTATCTAAAGAATTAATAGCAACTTCGTCGACTTTTTTTCGAATTATTTTAAAATTCCAGAAAAAAGTTCCTCTTTATTACTTCATATTTTACTCTTAATTGCTGCTGTAATTATATTATTTTTATGATATTAATGGCGGCATCTCGCGATATTTCTCTGCGCGCGTGTCTATTTAGCTCTTTTTCAGATATATGACGCAAATATTCGCGCGTAATGCGCAATGTATGCGACCTGGCGATCCACTGAGAGTCGTACCAGCTCTGCGCCACATTAAATTACATTTATTATTCTCGCGACATACCGCCGTAATACATTTCGTCGACAGCAACGCTAATCTACACTCTCACAATGAATGCGCTCAGGCAGCACGCCTCATCAATCACACTTGCAAGGAAAGTCCTCTGGCCTCCAGAGGAACTGATTTTCATTAAATTGATATACCGATTCCCCGTATCTCCCACGAACCTCTAGCAACTGCTATTTTCCTAGCAGATGTTTGCATGTGCGCGTTAGAAGTTAAAGGATTCATATTTTACTCCACTACTAAGAAACAGAAATATATCATCGAGAAATTTCTTTGAGAAAGATATTCTTCAATAAAGAAAAATTTTTAATATGTATATTAAAAATTTTCAATTTTATTTATCAAATGTCTATTATCAAATTTATTTATCGGCGATTATATCGCCGATTATATCTGACATCGGTCGATACGTTTATAGCTACCAAAAAAGACGGAGAAAGAGAGGAAAGAAATAGGGAAATAGGCATACGAGCCAGAAATGGGGGAGATGATATCGAAAAGGCAGAATTCACGTTTCAGAAATACTATAAGCAGAGCTGTATTGTAGAGTAGACCTCCACTGCCATTGTCCGTAGGCGTGCGGGCGAACCTTAGGTCTTAAGATCCAGTCTGGTTTCTCGGGACAAAGCCTTCACGACGAGGCTACCAACAGGGGAATGCACAATTACACACGCATCGTCTGCTCCGTCTCGTATACTAAGAAACCTTAATTAACGCGGGCTTTCGACGTCTCGCCACCGAAGTACATCTCGCTCTTAAGCGCGAACCCCTTTCTTTCTATCGTCGCGACGCGGTAATCCTTTAATGCGTTTACGATTAATCGCGTCAATCTTCTATGTGAGTCTTAATAGAAATAACATAAGCCGAATAATAGGAACACACACAGTGTCGATAGTAAGGTTGTATTGTACAATTCGAAAAGATTATCTTGAGAAAAAAAAATTCCAACCCATCATCAATAATATCCATTGCTTACAAAATTGCAAAGCAAATGTAATAAAATTGGTAGAAAGATCAAACGAGCAATTAATTAATAAAATGTTGAAAAGAGAGAATTTAATTTATATTTTTATATCGACTCTTTCCAATATTTTAATATATTCAAAATTTCATGTATTTGTTTCCAAATCTTTAATTTAATTTATTTTCTATTGTTATTTAGCTGAAAAAGATTTAGTGTATTCGAAACGTTCCATACATTGTATATTAATAAAGAACTAATTTTAATTTCTTTTTAATGTTTTAATAAACTATATATAGTTTTAATCTTTGACCTAATTAACTACTCTCTCTCGTTTGTTTGACCTTTCTACCAACTTTATTATATCAACCCATCAAGTTTTATCCGTGTGACGATATCTCCAATCTTCAAGAGCAATATTTTAGGTACGTACATGTTCCTTCGACCCCATTTTGTATGCTCGACCCTTAACCCGATGTTGTAACTCCAAATCCGAAAGACTACTGTCCGCTTAGGATATCGCGCATCGGACTCGTAGATCCTGATTGAAGAAGCGATCCTGCGACGCAAGAACGGAGCGTTATATGCTCTGCATTATGGAGGTCGTCCAGCCACCCGAGAATGTCAGGGCGTTACATAAAGGCCATTACCAGGCACACAGTGGACGATGAGAATCGTTGAGGCGAGGAGACGCTCTCTGATCCTCCTCCCTCGTCGCGCGCCAGACCCGAAAAGGTCAAACGTGAGGGAAAGATGCGCGCTCCTGGCATTCGACAGCACCATCAGCGACAGACTCTGGCAACGATCTCCCTCGAGCATCAGAAGAAAACGCCAGATTCAAAGCTAACGCTCGGACGAGGGGCTTTTCGATCGTCTGAAATCTCTGTATGCCTTTTAAAAACATCTCGACAGCAGCAAAGCGATGTATTGGAGAGATCAGATTTTATTTCAATTGCAATATTAAAAACTCCGTTAATAATCATAGGTTCTCTAAATTTTTTGGAGTAAATCTCATTTTAAAGAATGAAAATTGAGCCAGTTTTGAAAAAGAGTGGCTCAATTTTCAAACTTTAAGAGTGAGACTATTCAGAGTGCACGGAAAAAACAGTATGGTTGGTTTACACAGAAATCTGATAATGCCAATCAGATTAAATAGTAAAATATGGAGCAACTATTTATGTGGTTGCTTGAACCGTAGTACAATGGTTAGGTTAGGTTATGTTGCAGCAATGACGGCATTTCACATATACATATTTTTAATTGTAAGCGTGCAATGGTGAGTCGCTTTTGCTTTTTGAAATTTAACAAGAAATTAATTCTTATTAGTAATTTAATTCTTATTACATCATGCTTTATAATGTCACGATTGACGCAACTATACGGAGAGAGAGAGAGAGAGAGATATATAACTTATCCATAGTAAATGACTTCCCCAACCAAGTTTTGGTTGTCATAATCAGATCGTGCCTAATTACATTGATGTAGTTGACACATCAAAGTAAATAAATCGTATCAACCATACACATTCCTATCACATAAAGATAACTAGGATGATGTTTCTATATTGCTCACAATTAAATATTTTAGTTATGTGAACTATATCTTTTTTTTTTCATGTGGCAATTCACTCTAAAAGTTTTAGAGAGTGTGTATTAAAAAAGAATTAACATGAAAAACAATGATTTTACGAAAGCAACGAGTATTCGTCGTACGTCTAAATCGTACGCGAAATAAAAATTAAAGTATTTTATTGTGCTGGTCCCTTTGGACTACCCAACAGCTGGAAACGGTCCCTCGGAGTCTCAGCCTTTTACATCCCTTTCCCTTTCGATAACTATATAGGTACACATAAAAATAGCTAGTAACCTCTTCAAGTGAAGGGCTCCTGCGGGAGCTACGTTAGAAGCACGTGCTGTGAATTTTGGGTACGATTCCGAGCGCGTACCTTCATCATCTCCCTTCGTACCCCCATCCCTTTCGGCACGACATCGACAATATTCGACGTCCTGAATCAACCTTCCATCCTTTTTGCTCGATCGCCCGTCCGCCCAACCACGATCGTGTTGTCTCTCAAAATCTATAGACGACGCCTGCAGATCCAATGTTCGCGCACGGCGACAATAAAGTATAATTCGATTCTCTCTCGCGTTTTGAAGGGCGCTGAGCCAGAAAGAAACGCCTGATTTATGCTATTTCTAGCGAACGAATAGTACTTCGGTATTACAATAACGCATATTGGTCTCGAATAAAAATTTTTCATCCAAGTAACGACACGGTAAAAGGATTTCTTGCGAGTCAAGCCGTGAAAGCGTAATCGCGGTCATCTTAATAGCTTCGTAAGACTTTTCTGCCGTTACGTTTTATCACAAATGGGAGAAGCTTAATACGACAGCGCCGCGAATTTCCCGCGAGAAGCCGAAACTCTTTTAGGCGGCATGGACGGTGCAACAAAGTTTTCCGCGATGTTCACATAAAACAAAAAGAGAGAAAAAAGGAAAAAAAAAGAAGAAAGAATATTTTCTACACACCATCGGGACTCGTTTTGGAATAAGTTTCGCACTAGTTGGAGACGCGACTCTCGAAGGATTTCAAAAATTACTTACCAACAACAAGTCCGCCGAGGTAGACTAATTTCCCCGAGAAGTTCGTGATCTGAAAAAAAAAGAACAAACCGTTTGATACATCGTAATTTTAAAAAACTTTACTGTATAAATTTAACGCTTGGAGCACATGTAAAAGTACACGGAGAACAGATCAACGTACGTCGCTCTCATTTTCAATACATATATGCTACAACACACGGAGGAGCATATATGGTATAGCTTCCGATGAGATTTGCAACACTAGGAAAAATGTTTTGTCCTATAAATTAAAATTTTACCGTAACAACAAAAATTTGGTTGAAATATACACGGAAAGAACAATTTTGCTGAAGTATGCAAAATTTCCTGACTTCTTTCTGATTTTCCTGACCGTTTTCAATTTCCCTTACCTATACATTTCCCTGATTTCCCATTTTGTGGCAATTCTGTACACAGAGATTATTATCTCTGAGACCATTGTGTTCGCTTAAGATTTAATTATATGTCATTGCGTACGTGAAGGATTCCAGTCCTTGTCGGTCGGTAGCTTGAACTTTTAGGTCGGTCGATAGCTTGAACCACGGCATCCGTGCGGATCCCAGTTATGAGTCGCAGACTGCGATTAGTTCGTAACAATCTCAGACAGCTCGAGAAGTTATATCCGCTACGGTTATACAACAGTAGTTACAAAGCCAGATACAGTAATGAGCGGTTTCTCGCTCCGCGGGGACCAGGGAGGGAGACTAAAGATTAATTCCGCGTCAGGGGCACAAATCCGCGCGTGGCATAAATCTCCGGGCTCGAGAGCCCTGGCTCCTCTTAAGGAGCGAGTATAACGCCATGTCTGTCCAATTCACCTTGGTTTACTTCCACATTATACCCGGCGTCAGTTTCGTGCACCTCGTCGTCATCGCTTTTGTTCGGTTATCTTCTGCATAAGACAGGCCAGGAGACAAATCGGATGCGCTTCGCCTCGTGCTTATACATATTACCGTAATTTCGAAAACAAAGAGATAATTATGTGTATGACTGAAGATTATAAAGGAAACTATAAGAGACTGTTCAGAATTATTCAGAATAGCTGTGACGTATACGATTCTTAATCTTAATTATAATTTGTCTTATATTTCTTTCATTTTTTTTTCATACTTAGGAATATTAATGAAAAATTATTAATTAAACTACATGGAAAAAACATACATACGGTTTAGACATCGAAATAATTATTATGTAGGATGCTTAAATTATTTTCAGTAACATTATTTTCTATATCTAGGCTAAATTTTTAGATGCTTTAGCAAAACGGTATATTTATATATAATTTAATTAATAATTATAGTTACAGTTTAATTATATATATTTTATTTTATTGCTATGCTATGAATATATACCCTATGAATGACAGACTAATCCTATGAAGTCTCTTTGGCTATTTATAAATAATGTCTAATACTTTCTTATTAATTCTGCAAACGATTCCTCTCTTGCGTACACAAATTCAACAATTGCAAGCCAGATGAAATGTTTAAATCCACAGATGACCGACGTTTGTTTCCAGTCTGTTCCGCTCGTCAAGATAATGTAAGGGGGAGAGGACAAAAAAGCACGGAACAAAGTTGAATTGATGCAGCAGCCGGGGCGTCCATTTAGTAACTTTGTAAGTTATAAAGCAACTTTCTCATTTAAGACCAAAGTAAACTGAACGCACGTTGAATTGAACTGAACTGAATAGACGGCGGAGTATATTGCCTGCTTCAGACTATGACATATTACACAGCAATCAAGATCGATAATCGCAATTAAATGGTGGCTATCTTGGGAAAGGGGCAAATAAAAAGTACAGCTGCAACTTTCTACAATGTCGCCGATGTGCAATGCGATACCTGGATTTGACGGCGATAAAAGGCATAATATAAAATGCCTGACATCGAATAAATCACGTTCGCTGCGTCCACGTCTCTTGTCACAATCATGACGCCGTGTTCGCGGAAAAGTAGCTGTATTTGCCTTCATTGAATGCCGTTGAGCGAACGCGTTCTGTCGATCTCGGAGAAAAAGTAAGTTAGCGAGTGAGCGGCCGACCGACCGACTTTCTTCAATTCATCGTGGCGATAATTGTTCCTACAATACGAGGCGATTACTAATATGAGTCGTTAGTCGATTCGCATCCGAATATATCGTTTGCATTTAATCCTCGGTATTCGTTCTGAAATTTCCTTAATTAGTATTCGTGGGTCCAGTGTACTTCAAATTAATGTATCTGTATTTAAAGTTAACGTAACGTAACACAGTAAGAACAATTTTGCTGAAGAATCTAAAAATTTAGATCTCAAAATAATTATGTAGAACACGAACTAATTACTAGAAAGCCAAAACTTTTTGTAACATCGCTCATCATGCTGAGGTTTCTACGTAAATAGGTACTACGTAACTTTTAGTGAACTAACAAAATTATTTTTAGATTTGTAACTAATGAAATTTTTAGATTCTTCAACAAAATTATTTTTTTCGTGTAAGATTATGAAAAAGATTTCGACGACAGTTTGCTCTTAATTGATTATGCATATAAATTTCCTCTAAAATATTTAAGCATTAAGATCCGCTTTGACTGAAAATAGATTCATTTTTCAATTGATTTACAAAAAACATTTATTATAAACAATTTTATACGTATGGATAAAGACAATGTTCAAATCTATTAGACCCATGAATATCGATTAAAGTTCATGTTTCAATTAATTCCAGCTAAAATACTCAATTTGTTCGTTCGAGATTTTAACAGAAAATTGAGGGCTTTAAAATAATTTCGGAGCCCTTATAAGATATGGAGAAAATTATACGCCCTTCGAACTCTTCTTAATGTTTACAATCACCAGCAAAAATACAACGACAGCCTAAGTTACAGGATTCGTCCTTATTCCCTCCGTTTTGCAAACGACTATATATGTATGGTACCTTAGGGACTTTTCGTATTTCTCTACGCGAACGGCTCGCATAAAGACGCTATTATCAAAATGTCTAGACGGAGAATTCCTTCGAGGGAAGAGAAACATTCGATACGCACTGTCGGCATTATTTGCTGGATATTACAGTAGGAAAGAGCATTTGGAATTAACGCAGAATAAAAACAAATACTGTAGATTAACGTGCCGTTAAAAAAACCAATGTGGATTATTAACAATTAACAGAAAGTATAATCAGAGACGCTATTCGAATCATGTTTATGATTTAATTAATTACGCGTGAGGCAACATTGATCGAACTTTGTTTTCGCGGATGCGGCGAGTTTTATGTTATGTCCCGCGATTATATGACAGCGGAATTTTGCATACTAATGCATATTCATTCAGTATTTAGCACCAGCAACGAGTTTGTGGCATTAAATAAAAATGTGATTTGCCGCTCTGTAATTTTGAGGCTGTTTCACCGCGGGTGTGATTCAATTAGCGAGAATGCAAATTGCGTAACATGCCCGTTTATTTTCACACAGGCGCTCTGATGTAGATAACAGTTAGTATCAAGTACCAAAACCGTATTCGTAACACGGCTGCCGAGAAATTTATTGCACGCTAATTGAAATGAGTTATTTGTCGAATTTTTTACCTCACGCGAAAAAAATGGCATTCTTAAACTTTAAACAATACAGCCAATTTATAAATGCAATATACACTTATGATACTAAGCTTTAATTTAAAGTGGCGTCCACAATAAGATTTTAAGGCATAAAATTTAAGCTTTGAGTCTTAAGCCGTAAAAAATTGACCAATATTCATTCGTCTATTGTCCTCATATTCGATTATGATTGATCCATTTCTTACGATTTAAGGCTTAAGTTTTACGCCTTAAAATCTCATTGTAGACGCCGCTCAACCTTTAGAAGACGACAAAGTCACTGTAGTGATGCTAAAATAGTGTTATATTTTGAGACAAAGAATTCAATGAAACAAAGGACAAATCTTATTCAAGAAAAATAAAGAACAAATCTCTTATTCAAGAGAAAAAGTGTCAAATTTAAAAACTGGAACTCCGTTCTTAAAAGTTAAAAGATCCAAGAGAGATATGAATATTGTATGCATGTAAACGCTCAATGCAACATCACGCGATGTAAAAACAACGTGTTTTCTATTTAATAAATCAATATTCATTGGGTGTTTCGATGTCGTCCGCTGAAATATTTAACGTCTACGAAAATACTGTAATTACGCAAAAGGCGAATCGAAACTGGCAACTGGCGGTTCACAGCGTTTTCGACGAGAACGAAAACGCGACAGTTGCACTCGAAGTACGATCGAATTCCTGGCGTTGCCCGGGCAACCAGATTTTTCTCCAACGTCGATGGAATTACATTGCAGTTAATTGCAGTCAGGCACGAGATCTGTATAAAGTGCGAAAACGAAGTGGCAATTACGTCCTATCGACAAGCAAAATGTGTTCGTCGGCCTAGTGCCATCATCGATCGTCACGGAGGTGATAATTTGATCTCTATAAAACACCCCATTTTTAGAATTTCAATACGAGTCAATAAAGTTCTCAAATTTTTCCAAAGAGAACTGAATTTCTCGTAATTTTGGCTCGAAAATAATTTTGGAGATTAAACGCAAGAAAATAAAATTTCCTCCTAGCGACAGCCAGCCTCTCTTCCTTTCCCTTTTTCGTTTATTCGTTCCCTCATTTTCCTTCCTGCTTCTCTTTTCCCTTTGTAACACTCTTCGTAATGCTATGACTTTGATTTTCTATAAAGTACAAAGAGTAAACCGTTGAAAAATGTTGTAAAAGGGACGCTGGAAGAAATTAGCGTGTACTACCTAACATTGTGGTGCATAAAGAAGAGTGAAGTTAAAATAGAAAAGAAGCAGCTCCCCGAAATTTAATTCAAATATTAACAAAAGAAAGTAGTTTTATATTAAAAAAGAATAATTTATAATAATATAAAAATAATTGAATGTCAAGCAATCGTTACAACACACAAATCGTTACAACATGCAATCGTTACAACATATAAACTAATTGTGCTGTTAAATGAAGATAACGCTATTAAGGACTGCGTTTCAATTTTAATCCTTGTTAACA